CGAATAGAAGCGAAAAGACAAGTCCCAGGAAGCAGTCGTGAAGGAGAAGACACGGTCGCTGGGACAGGAGTTTTATTCGCCTGACGTTTCGGATTCCTGCTCGAACCCGTCATTAGCAGATACGAGTGATGACTGGTTCGGGCAGGAATCGGAGGCTTCAGACGAATAAAACTCTTGTCCCAGCGATCGTGTCTCCTTCTTCATACTTTAATTTATAAGCTCATCGAAAATCAATGTGAAAAATACATGCTACACAAGTTTTTATTTTTTACCGAGTGCGGTTTCTACTTGAGGAAAAAAAGTAGTGCATTCAGAAGCCGACATCCTGGCGAGTCCGGCATATTATGGGACAGTTCTACCAAATCAAAAGCTCTAGGGGACTACGATGTTGCCTACAGAGCACAGATACCCGTTTACAAAAGTGAAATGGGGCAGGTGCGGTTGTCTAAGGTGACATTTTATTTTGTTCTGGCCTCCGTATGATATCCTTCGTTGAAATCCCGAGCACTGGAAAAGACTGGCACCGCAATAAAGGACTTTGGTACACACAGGAGCGACTTGGCTCCTTCCAATGCACGTTTAACTCATCCTTCGGGTCATCCGAAGGGCAGTCGAGCAATAACCAGACTTAGGCCAAGCTTCCTCAATTAGACGAGAGTGTCTTGCTTTACGGAAAAATCAAGAAGCTTTCCCGTGGCCGTCTCCTTAACTCCAGGTCCTCAAAATTTGTTTGGCAGAAAATTTCCCCTTCTTTTCAGTTTTAGCCCTCTCTCCGCGAGGTTATCTCGGTTTTCTGTCAGGTAACTCGGGGTCCAGATGGAACGGCATGCTCCGAACGTCAACAGATACGACACAAGAGTCCTTGTCGGAAACTGGGTGGAAGAACGAAGCGACATCAAGTGGGTCCTACGACGCCAGCCTCGGGAATCTCAAGTAGGTGTCTTTTCTCAAAGTTCGCTTCTTCCCTCGCCTACAGCTTTCCTTTGTGACAGGTCGCCTATAATCAGAAGGGATGTTTGATGACCAGGAACATCCAAGCTATTGAGCCGTAGCAAAGACTCGGCAGGGTCTTTCCAAATTAAGTTTGAATTTCCGTCTAACGACAAGGGGCTGCTACAGATACGTTGGACTAAAACGAAATTAGACTGGCTCACGGGACGCATTTATCGGGCAGTACGACTGTTCGACCCTCTTGACCGACAATGTCCACCGTATGCTCCACAGCAGTCTGAGAGCAGGCACGGTGAATTGATGTCCTTTATAGTGATAGTGGACTTGTGCAGCATCTGCTGCACCCTCTCCTCCTCCCCATTTGGGTCCAGCGTCAAGACATAGCCTAGAAAAACGGAGGCGGTGGAGGGCGCAGGTAGCTGGCACGGCCGGACCCGCACCTGGGCGTACCATTAGACTCTCTGGTTCACAACGAACACTTGACTAGGATTTGAAACATTGACAAGAAGATCGACGCTTAGCGTGGGTAGTATACGCCCATGGCCACTGCTTTACATGCATGCGTTAGCACGCCTTGTACGCAGGTATTCACTTCTTGTCAGCAGCTCCGTCAGACGGCTGACAGGTTCGCGAAGAGAGAGAGAGAGGTCGACAATGACGAGTCCGTCCTCACGAAAAATCGATGTATTCCTCGTTTTAATACATTGGGGGTACATTAGATGTGCCATCGCATTAAATGTTGACTAAAATTCTGAAATGCGTTTTCAACTCGAAAAGATTAATTAAGTAGAATAATGACGTTTATTGACAAGCGTCATAACCTTAAGGTATATTAACCACGTCAGGATTCCGGTTTTTGAATGAGCGTTTTTTTTTTGACCGTTTGAGACAACTACACTTCATAAAAAGTGATTACCTTATTTGCATGATTTTTCCCCATTGATTTTCTGTGTCTTTATGAATTTAATTGTATCCTACAGTAAATTTGCACAAAAATATTCCTGCATGCACTCAAATTATAGCAAAGTACGTTTTATTCAAACTTTTTTACCTGAGGAAGGAGTAGCTTTTGATTTTTAAAAAGTCATTAATTACGAGACTTTTGGACTGTGAAACTTCATTTATACAGCATCATATCGCCTTATTTAGTATTGCTACTTATAAAACATACAGCCTCGTCCCATCCACTGTGCTCTGTTAAGAGTTCTTCGTGGCACCTTTCCAACATGGGGAAATACGTGATATTCCTTTGATGCATACTGTGAATGCGAGTGTGCCGAATGGTGAGGCACTCCTGCTCCTCATCTGACTTACAGGGTGGAGTTTTTATGGACGACCGCAAAGAAGCTCACTCGAAGGCCTGACGTAACGGCGATATCATGAAATTATGCTACATTATCATAAGTATTAGTATTTTATTATCGACGAAGACAGGAGAGACTAGAATGGCCATTTCTGGCATATTAATCGTCGTCAGCCAGTCATATCCAACACCGAAGTGTGGAACACCCGAGGCTCGAACTCGCGACCTGATGGTTAGAATTCCACGCTCTAACCACCGGGCCACGAGCCCGTTGTCCTGTCGGTTTTCGGTCGGGAATATACAATGGTAGGGGGCATTCAGCGATTGTTCTTACGGAACGTTCTATAACTTTGCCCAGGTAATCTTTTCGAATCGAAAATATTTTTCAGAATTCCGGTTAATATTTCATTAGATAACACATCTACTGTACTTCGATCTATCACGACGCGCTAGTCGTCGTGGTTTGCGAGGTTGTCGACTGGCTGGATAAGGCACTACGCAGTTTCCGCCTCCACGTCCGATTGTCTTGATTCTGTCTCGCCAATAAGGTGAGGAGGATGGACGAGATGGGAGTGCGATGGATGCTGCGAAAGTCTGCCTGATTGCAAAATAACCCGAGCTCAGGTCACCGGTGCTGAGCCGGCTCTGTAGAGCACGCGCTGGAAGTCGACTTTTTGACGTTTGTGTCGGGATTGGATGCGATACCAGCGACTTTCTCTTGAATTAGTTTATGGTGATGGTGGACATGCGCAGTATCTACCGCACTTTTCCCTCTTTCACTGACCTTGACCCGGGGAGAATACGGAGTCAGGACGACAGGACACGAGTTCAGGCAGCCCATCTACGCACGTGTGCAAGCAGCCCAGAGCTCACATGTGCGTGAGTGACAAAAAGGTGGCACCTGTTAGGAGCCATTGAGTTGTTGGGGAAAATTCCTGATCAAGTGTGTGCTGTGGACGAGGGGTGTGGTGGCACGCCTTGGCGCGGGTTCGGCCCCGCCAGCCACCTGCACCCTCCTCTGTCTCCGGTCTTCCAGACTCTGTCTTCATGCCGGCTCCAGGTGGGGAGTGGGAAAGAGAGAGTACGGTTGATGCTCTGCAAGTCACTGTGCCTGTTGCACCTTGCAAACGGGGGACATCGTCGAAATCGACGGTCGGACTGTCGATCACACCCATCAGATACCATTGAGACTGACCCGCCGTACTGAGCGGACCGAGTTATCCGCCTGCGGGCAGCCTTCCAAGTCCTGATACATTCAAGCCTATAAGACGAGTGTGCTGATTTGCCGTGGAGATGTGTTCCCTAGTTTCGGTCTTAATTAGTTATTACTTTGTTTGAAACCACTGAGATCATATTTGGATGCGTTTTGACTAGTGATCACACGAAGCAGTCTGATTCTTATCGCACCATGTTCTTTCGCTTTTGAGAAGTCATCAGCTCTGATAGAAGACAAACATCGGGTTGATGTCCCTGATGTTTCCAGTTGCCCTTATTTGAGTCATGTGGCGCAAACATTACGCGAATATAATGGTAGGGGGTACCATGATAAGAATGCAGGGCGGGAGATCTGGGAGAAGATGGAACACAAAGGACACTGCCTTCTCAATTACACTTTACCCTTTAACTCACCGCTGAAGACAACCGTGGAACGACCTAACTGGCCTCTCTCATTATATATAATGATAGGGGGCACTCACCGACCGTTCATACGGAACTCACTCGTTCCGTTGTGCCAGAAATGGCCTTTCCAGTCTCCCTTGTCTTTGTCGGTAATACTATTCTGCCTATATATATATATATGTTATGGTCGGTACTAACATACTGCCTATGTCATACGCCGCTGTTCGGTTGCTGATTGGGCTCGAGAAAGAGAGAGCCCATAAGGCACAACGGAACGAGTGAGCTCCGTAAGAACAATCGGTGAGCGCCCCTTGCCATTGGATATTCCCGATCGAAAACCGACAGGGCAACGGGCTCGTGGCCCAATGCTTAGAGGTGTGCGCTTCTAACTAACAGGTCGCGAGTTCGAGCCTCGGGTGGTCCACACTTGGGGGTTGGATATGACTGGCTGACGACGGCCATTAAGCCAGAAACGACAATTCCATTCTCTCTTGTCAGTGTCGGTGATAACATTACGCGAATATGTCACAAAACTGGCACCATTCCGTTCAACAGATTACGTAAACACCGCGAAGAAAACCTGGCGCCTTCTGTCTTAATAGGTCTGGTAAACAAGTTTTGATGAAATTCTATAAGCAGTAATCTCATCCAGCGGCCTCGTGTAAGGACATATCGCGGAGATGTGGGCACGATCGGAAGGTGAAACAGAAACTTTACTCGTCCGCCTCCAGCCATCGGGTAGCCTCCTTTTCAACTCCTCTCCGGAACTAGTCCTTTAGCTTGTAGTGATAGTATCTGCCGATAAATAAAATTCACTTAAATTACATGCAGTAAGCTGTCCTACCGATGTGCCCTCAGGCAAAGTGAAATCGCGCATAATGACACGCCCCACATTGAGGACTGGTTGCGATGTTCAAAGCGGCATGTCTACTGCCGCCAATCTTGAACTGCCCGGTCGACCTGGTTGGTCGCTTTATTTAACATTTTTTTGGAAAAATCATCGCCATGAGCAGAAATATTCGCCATGATCAAGGCCTACTATCGCTCCGCTACTGCGAGAGTCCTGGTCCGTAACAATCCTTCTCAACCGTTCGGTATTCGGTCTGGCGTCCGACAGGGTTGTATCGTGTCACCCATACTGTTCAACTACGCTACTGACTGGATCCTCGGGAGGGCTCTACGCGACAGTGACGGCGTTAAATTTGCACCCGGACATCGACTGACTGATCTCGACTATGCCGATGATATCGCCTTGCTTGCTTCAAGTTTTGGTAATCTGCTGTCTATGGTGTCACGGGTGAACGAGGTCGCTAAATCAGTCGGTTTGTCCATAAACGCTGGGAAGACCAAAGTATTCTCAAGCCGCATCCCTGACCAGGAGAAGGCACCCCTGGGGATTGATGGCTGTCAACTTGAAGAAGTAGGCAGTTTTAAATACCTCGGGGCGAGGCTGCTGCTTAATTGACAGAGTAAGGACGACATTTTCTCCCGAATTGATGCTGCCCGCTGGGTTTTCTCAAGCCTTCGGAAATGCCTATGGATCCGACGTGACCTCTCCATCGCCACCAAGACTCGGGTATACCGTACATCTGTCCGGTTTGTCCTTCTCTATGATTGTGAATGCCGGGCTTTTCCCGTGGAGGACGAGCGAAAACTGGAGGTATTTGACCACCATTGCTTGTGGACCATACTTCGAGTGAAGTTCACCGTCTTCGTCTCAAATGAGACAATCCGCGCTCGCTGCGACAACATCGCAAGGATAACTCAAGCCATCCAAGAAGGACGACTGAGGTGGTTCGGGCATGTTCTTCGTCGTCCACCTCAGGAGCTCAGTGTTACTGCCCTCGATCCGGCACCGTTGCCCCACTGGAAGCGTCGAAGAAGGGGTCAGTTCAAAACCTGGCTCGACACTGTCCGTCAAGACATGGAGGTGGTTCTTGGACCTTCGGTATTCGGTCTCCGTCTTTGACGAAGGGAATGGGTTGAGCTGTCTAGATTTGCTGCCGCGGATCGTCACGCGTGGAGAGGTACAGTTCGGGACATCATCGAGGCCGGTTAGATCAGACATGGTCGCAGCCGTATCAAGTACAAGTATTTTTTGGAAAATGAACAAGATGGCCTTATTGATGTTGACTTCTTTTCTTTTGCAGTTTGCTCATCTATACAGCACCACCTATGAGGACAGTTATGGCTACGCTGCGATAGCGCCGAAGTATCCAAGTCCAGAATGTTTGAGTAAGTTTCTGCAGTCATCTTTCTGAGGCCTTTGACTTCCCACTCCCCTCCCCATCCCCCTCGATCACGTGGTAGAGAGTTGTGCTCTTAGATCGCAAAATACTACTCAATGTTGTCCAGTCAGATGGCCTCTTCTCACTTCACCATGAGAGTTTGCCCGTCGTGGCTGACGAGGTCCACCGTGCGCTCCACAGCAGGGTGAGAGCAGGCACGGTGACTTGCGCGTGAATTAACTTATAGTACTGGTGGACTTGCACAGCATCCGCCGCACTCTCCCTTCCTCCCCGAACTCAGCCCAGTGTCCAGTGAAATTCCAGAAGGCACTTATTTACATATTCTAGACTTAACCCTTATCCTTACACCAATTCTCATAACAACGACAGTTCGACCCTCGTGCGCTCCACAGCATGCTGCGAGCTGGCACGGTGGCTTGCGAAACACCTATCGCACTCTCTCCATTCTCTATCGCCTGAGTCCAATGTCAAGTCAGGGTCAGGAAGGTCGGAAATTGGAGAGGGCGCAGATGGTTGCAACAGCCGAACCACCGCACCCTCTCGTCCACATCAAGCACCTAATCGGGATTTTAACTATCAACAAAATGGGCGGGTCAAAGGGAGGAGAAGATGAGACAAGTCCCTGGACAACCATGCACACGGCCTGTGTCCCAATCGGGAGTGCAAGCACACCCACCTGCAGATAACCAGGTTCCAGAGAACTGCTTGCGCACAACTGGCTATGAGGGTCATGGGTTGCTGAATCATGGCATAGGAAATGCACACAGTACTAACAGCCCATATTAGAGCATCGTATTGCAAACCTGCCTACTGTCATTTTGATGACCTAATTCCAACTTGACTGCTCTTTATTTGTATAGTGGCATGAACCCTAGCCCAGGCACTCAAAAGCTGCAAACTCGAGTAAACTAAAGAAGGAACGGTCATTTGTCTCTTAGGGTGGGTCTACCGCATTATAAAATATATCGTTCACCCCCTTCCCCGCCTCGTTAGCTCATTACTAGTGCATGGAAGTGGGAGATAAAGTGAGATCGATCTTTTCATGAATATAGGTACAGTGAGTGACCGATCACAAGAAATGTTGACCGAAATTCGGAGATGCCTTCTCGATTAGGGAGAATTACTTAAGTACCGTTACAATATTTATTATCAAGTCGCATAATCCTATGTGTTTCGAACTCGCCAGGATGTTGGCTTTTGAAGGCGTTTCTTTTTAACCTCCTACAACAACCGTACTTGGTAAGAGATGACTACTTATGTAGCTTGCATTTTTAACATTGATTTTTGATGGTTTTATAAATTCAAATATATTTTATAGGAACCACGTATAAAAATGTGTTCTCTTTTGTTCGTTTGGTTGAGAATCACGTTATGCTTACATTGCATACCTGAAGAAAGGGTGTATTTAGGTTTTGAAAAAGTTTCCCAATGCCTGAATAATTTTGAGCCTGATCAGTCGTTGCATTAACTTTAAGCAATTTCAATCTACGCGGTGCATGCTTTCGGCGCAAGGAAAATAATATATTCTTCTATGCCTTTAGAAGGATGTTATGCAGAGTACGCAAAATATTGCAGTATATGCAAACCATGTTCTACATTTCATGAGAAGTATTGGCAAACGGACATGTACGATGCTGTATGAATGGACATTGCACGGTCTCAAAAAGCTCATAATTAGAAACTTTTCCAAAAGCTAAATATACCCCTTCTTCAGGCATGCAATGTAAGAATAACGTGATTCTCAACCAAACGAACAAAAGAGAACACATTTTTATACGTGGTTCCTATAAAATATATTTGAATTTATAAAACCATCAAAAATCAATGTTAAAAATGCAAGCTACATAAGTAGTCATCTCTTACCAAGTACGGTTGTTGTAGGAGGTTAAAAAGAAACGCCTTCAAAAGCCGACATCCTGGCGAGTTCGAAACACATAGGATTAAGCGACTTGATAATAAATATTGTAACGGTACCTAAGTAATTCTCCCTAATCGAAAAGGCATTTCCGCATTTCGGTCAAAATTTCTTGAGCTCATTTACTTACTGTATGCAGATATTATTTTTTGACGAAATTGGGCAAGATCTTATTTCGTAGCCGTACCTGTTTTGGGTTAGGGTTAGGGGTTGGAGTTTGGGGGTCAGGGCTAGGGGTTAAGGTTAGGCGTTGGGGATGGGGGGTTAGGGGCTAGTGGGTTGGGGTTAGAGTTTGGGGTTGGAGTTAGGCGTTAACGTTTCGGATCAGGGTTTGGGTTAGTGGTTAGGTTTGGGAGTTAGGCGGATGCTTGTCTATTGCAGGTACGACTGCAAAATGAGATCCGACCGGAATAAGGATTATAGGATAAAAGTAAGAGATGGGAGGAGTAATGTCAACTCAACGCTTGAGTATCAGACAGCGGCATTTAACATGGAATCTAACATTTACTATTGTTTACTTCTGTGTAAAGATGATCCAATTCTGATAGATCAAGAAGCATCCGGTGGTAGATACTTTACCACCGAGAGTTCGGAGTAAAGTACTTATTTTGTGTGAATTTTGAATGATACGCTGGTGGGGGAAATGATGTCACCAAAAACCGACCGAATTATAGATGGCCTGGAGGACTATGTCGAAGGTTCAGTTCGTTCGGTCGGCTAACTACTCGTGCAGCAAAAACTAGTAAAGATTGTAGGATGAAATCAAGGGATTTCAGAGGCATACTCATGACCATTATTAATGATACCTACGGAGAAGCCCTAGGAAGGACAGTTTGTTGTTTCCGGATGGCAGGGTGTTTCGACATGAAGTTCCACCACTGGTGATGGTTACAGTGAGTTCTGAATCCCCATGTTATTCTGTCTGGCAGCCACATGCGGAAAGCTCTCTAGGCTGGGTGTGGTGATTGGGTCTCATCGGGATCACTCTAAGGAAACCGGATAGAAGCACGAAATTGGTTGGTAGCGAAAAAACTAGAGCGCGCTGACGATGTGCTACAGTCACGAAACGACTGCCTACGCAGATGTTGGCCCGACCGCCCCACAGCTTCATTTATGATCTTCTTCCACCTTGACGAGTTTCTTGGGCAGCTGGTGGACAGTTTCCCTTTTGTGATGCTGATAGCGACAGCCAGGGCAGTGGAGTATAGACCTTACCTGAAGCTTTATTTGTCAGCCGTCTTCAATCGCCTTTTCTCCTGTGCATTTTAGAAAACCGCGCAAACGCCTTCCCTGCCCAACAGCGTGAACTGGATCCTGATTACCCTGGCTGCGATTAGTGTGCAGACCTCCCGGGGACTGCTTCTCAGGCTTCTATTTTGGTCACCGCAGGGTTGGGGTGACGACTTTTCAGTTGCTGTATCAGTGGCCTTTCTTTAATAAAGCTCACGGCTTTTAGTTGTTACATTGTGAGCCATTTGGTTAGCAGGGTCAGAAGTCCTGGGGTATGTCCCACTTGGCATGGTAGAACTAAAGGCTACAAAATATGCTTTAGAGTAGTCCTTTAAAAAAATACAGTGGGTGACCGATCTCATGACATGTTGGTCAAAATTCTAAAATGCGTTTTCGATTGGGAAGGATTGCCTGGGTGGGTTTGTAATACTGATTATCATATGCCATAATCTCATAATTTTCAGCCTTGGCAGAACGCCAGCTTTTGAATACATTTCTTTTCAATCTCCTATTGAAACCGTACTCGGTAAAAAATGAATAATTAAGCGGCATGCATTTTTCACATTGATTTTCGATGGTTGATAGATTTAAATATATTTTATAAAAAAGAAATTTTTTTCTTTGCTCGTCTGATAGAGAGTCACGACGTCTTTATTAATCATACTCCAGTAAGGAATAAAAGTAGGTTTTAAAAGGTTTTTTTAATTCCCGAATAATTTGGAATCTGATAAGCTGTCGTAGTAGTGCTTAGTGATTTCAGCCTACAAGATCCGTGCGTTCTGCCTGATGAAAACCACATATTCTTCCATGTCTTTAAAAAGATATCATATTGGGTCCATAAAATTTTGCAGTGGATGCGGACTATGTTGTACATTTCATGAGGAGCAGTGGTAAACGGACAGGCACGATGCTGTTTGAATGCACATTGCACTGTTTCAAAAAATCTCCCAAGTGTAAACTTTTTTCAAAACCTAATTATTCTCCTTCTCCGAGTTTAAAATATGAAGATGACGTGATTCCCTATCAAACGACTGAAATGAAGCATTTTTGTCCGTAGTTTCTATAACCTTCACCAAAGTTTTAAAGACTACCGAAAACCGTGTAGTCATTTTTTTCCGAACACGGGTTCTACAGGAGATTGAAAAGAAGTGTATTCAGAAGCCGACATCCTGCCGAGTTTGAAATATTATAAGACCATGCTGCAAGATAATCGGTATTACAACCGCATCTAAGTAATCCTTCCTAATCGAAAACGCATTTCAGCCAACATTTCACGAGATCTGTCACTCACTGTGCATTGTTTTGTTGAGTAATCTTGAGGGCACTTTCATAGCAAGTAAAGATAAATTTTCGAGTGAATATTAGAATAAATAGATGGACTTAGTAGAATACGCAGTCAGATATTTTAAAAAAAACAACTAGCGAGCGGGGAAAAACTCCTTCTTTTGAAAAAGACAGAATGAATGTGATTTTATTAGCTTTGAAGGAAAAAAATTGCCGCTCATGAAGAGGCAAATATTTGGGGTTGGACAGCACTGGCCTGCATATAGTAGTGTATACGAGATTCAAAACAGGCATCGTCAAGACAGAATTCCTAGACCGGATGAGGCTGTCTGTGTCGAGGTGGCGAGATGAGAGGAAGTCAGACGCGAACGGTCACAGTTTAGCTTAGAAGGAGACATTAAAGACTGAGTCATTAAAGCGTACGGGCTGATGCGTCCATGACACTTCCTTGCTGACCGACCAAAATACTAGCAGATGGTGAAAGCAGAGGATTCCGTCACGATCCACAACAGACCGCTTGGGGTCGCAATGAGGTTGATGCCATCAAGAACTGCGGGGATGAGTAATAAAAGTGGATTTAGTAGCCAATTAAAAACAGGGAGCTGTAAAAACACAAGTGAGGGTTTTCGCTTGATCTACCAATAAATCCCAAGAGAACCCTGTTCAAAGTCAAGAAACTGAGTGTTCTGGAATGAGACGGTCAATCGTGACTTTATACTTTCCGGTGTAAGATGATTTCATAATTTCGATATGAATGCCGATAACTTAGTCGATGACGTAAGTTCTGATGGAGGATCGCTCCAAAGGAAGGCATATTTGGATACAAATAAGAGAACGAGTTTAGATGTAGAGCAAAGAGACGGCGGAATCACCACGAAGGAGTTACGCGGGGCATAAGACCGACCTCCCGGAGTGAGAGTGTCAATGCGTGGAAGACTAAACTTAGAGTTAATGCGAAACAGGAAGCAAGGGCCAGCTTCGAGTCTTCTAATTCATTAAGACCTAATGTTCTTCAGCTGGCATCTCTGAGTATAAATGCCAGATACAGCTTGGGAGAATAATTTCCGAGTGAAAACCCTCCGAACATTTTTGGCCATCGGCGTCCATTAAACCAAAGAAAGGGCAGTAGTACTCGAAGACAGGAAGAACAACTACAGTGCGTGATCGATCTCAGGAAATGTTAGCCGAAATTCTGAAATGCGTTTTAAACTAGGAAGGATCAGATAGGCGGCGTTGTAATATTAGTTATCATTTAGCATAATCTTATAGTATTTCAGACTTTCCTAGAGGTCGGCTTTTAAATGCACTTCTTCCTGACCTTCGGCAGAAAATATAATTGGTAAAAATGACTACTTAATTACCATGCATTTTACACGCTGATTTTCGATGGTTTTATGAATTCAAATATATTTTATAGAAAGCATGCACAAAAATATGCTTTTTTCTGCTTGTTTGGCAGGAAACCAAACTGCCCTTATATTTTATACCCTAAGAAAGGCTATCCTTTGGTTTTAAAAAAGATCCTCATTATGAGGTTTTAAACACCGTGCAATGTCGATATATGCAGTATCGCGCGTGTCCGTTTACGAATGCTCCCCCTGAAATGCAAGACACAGCTCGTATCCATTCCAGAATTTTATGAACGTTTTAGAGTTTCTTCTTAAAGGCATGGAGGAATATACGATTTTCTTTATGCGGAATGCATGCTGCTTGTGAAATGCGATTGCTAAACACTAATGCCACGGCTGGTTAGTCTCAAAATTATTTGGAAATTTGGGGAACTTTTCCATAATCTAAATATACACTTTTTCCGGATATAAAATGCGAAGAAATGCTATTTTCTACCAAACATGCAAAAGAAAGCATTTTTGCATGTTTTCTATAAAATATATTTGAATTTATAAAAGCATAGAAAATCAATGTGAAAAAAATGAATGCTAATAAAGTAGTCATTTTTACCAAGTAACATTTCTGCCGGGGGTCATCAAGAAGTGCATTCAAAAGCCGACGTCTTGGCGAGTCTGAAACATTATATGATTATGCTACATGATAATTAATGTTACAACGCCACCTCTTTAATCCTTCCTAGTTGAAAACGCTCTTCAGAATTTCGGCTAGCACTTCCTGAGATCGGTCAAGCTCTGTATATGATAAAACCTTAGCTTCATTTCCAGAAGGAAAAAATCATGTGATATGACTCCACGTATCTGGGCGGTCTTTGTAGAAATTCCATCTATATGGGGTGATAAAGTAAGCTTATCCGTAGAAATTAAACCTTGGTCCATTATGTTTAAGCACTTTGAGAGTGGGTTATTCTGAGCAGTTATGGAACCGGGAAGATTGACAGAGCCGAAGGACATGAAACTACATTTGGATGATGAAAACTTCATCTTCCACGCAGAACTCTGTCTGCTTAAGCGTAGTAAATCGGAATTGATTTGTTCAGCACAAGCATTTGCGATGTCCTTAGAATATGAGTAAACACACTTGAGGTCATCGGCATAGATAAACGTTTGCGAATTTCTGATTTCAGTCGAAATATCATTGATATAAAGAAGGGAGAATAGTCGATCCTAAACCGTGCCTTGAATTACGTCACTTTTGACCAGTGAGGTGTCAAGTATCTATTATCAACCATGACTTTCTGATAGCGCATGGATAGGCAGGACCCGATGAAGTCGAGTAGAGGCGGCCGGTCGCCGAGGGTTTCCAATTTTATCAAAAGACGTCTATGTGGCATCTTGTCGAAGGCTTCGCTAAGATCAAAGTAGATAACTACCACTGACTGCTGTTCATAACGATGAGAAGTGATGAGATTAGGAAAGGTCAAGTGGCCAGTTTTGCAGGACCTTTCAGGTAAAAATCAGTGCTAACTAGAGCTCAGAAACTGGTTAGCTAGGCAGAAGTCAAAAATTTAATTGGAAATTATCCTTTCATGATGTTTTGCTGGAGATGATGTTTTGTGCACGCCCCGATAGCTATTAACATCGGACCGAGATCCAGACTTGAAGGCAGGAAAGATAATTGACGTCGTCCATGTTTCACGGAAAAATCCTTTTGAAATATAAACCGAGAATAAATGACTAAGCAATATGGGAAGGTCGGATGCCTGTTTGATAATCGAATTAGGAATCCCGTCCCTCCCAACTAACTTGTATGTTTATTAATTATATCTGAGGAAACATCGATTGTACTCAGTGTCCTATCTGAAAGTGAATGAAAGAAATGTACTGGGTAGGACTCAGTAGTATGGTATTTGGTGAAGAAAGCACTCAACAATTCCGCTTTTCAGTGTCTTCGATGAGGAAGATTTTGCTGTCGTTTAGCAGGGGTGGAAGTTCGGGACCATACTTAGAGGAGGACCGATGGCGGACGATGTTAGCGACGGATTTGCCAGGGTTCAGATCACGGAGAGCAAATGATTCTCTTTATCTGTCCCGCGCTTGGCGTATCCATGAGGCCATTTCAAAAACCTCTGTGATTCTAAGATGAACGGATAAACATCTAGTGGATAGGTCACGCAGACGTCGTCTCAACTTTTGGTCTGCTGTGAAGAAAAAGAGGAACAAGGGGATCCGCAGAATTAGACTTGAGATATCTACGCGGCAGAAACTCTGAGATTGCATTGGAAACATTGGACATGACATCACGATGAATGGTTGCGTCACTATTAGAGAGAAAGCCACAAAAATCCAGGGATCTAAAATAGTTATTTATTAAGTTGTTATCTGTGCAATCGTGGTTTAGATAAGCCCGAACTGCACTGACCTTTTATGAAAAGGCAAACGATAAGCAACGGTGATATATATGTGGTCACTATCAAAGAGGTCCTTTTTGAAAACAACAAAAGTGGGGCCAATGTTATTGTTAAAGATTAGATCTAAAATGTGATTATCTCTTGTTGTAGAGTGGACCAGTTGAGACCAGTAAGATAAATTGGCAGTATCTTGGAAGGGATGGAACTTAGGTGGACAGATATTGGAAACCCAGTCTATTTCAGGAAAGTTAAAAACCCCAGTGATTATTTTAACATCGAAAGCAGCTTCCGAAATTAATTTAAAGATTTCACAGAGTTGTGAATCATCACTGGCTGAAGAGTTTGGGGGATTGCAGATACAGCCAATAATTGCCTTTCATTGCCGCGAAAGAATAACAGATGCAAAGCAGAAGTTCCTCGTGAATGAGGAGGCGTCCAGGTAATAGGGAGAGTACTTTAGGTAGGATCTAGCATAAAGAAGACCAGCGCCCCCATGCCTAGTCGTGCGGTCTTGACGGTAAAAATCGAAGTCATCTATGAGAAGTGCAGAGTCAGGAGAATGGGTCCAAGATTCTGTTATGCATATAATATCAGGCGTCTTTCGAGAGCAATGACTTTGATTTGGGTCATCTTGTTTATAACAGACTTGGCATTCAATAACATAACATCTAATGCGTTCCGAACGGCAAGGCTATTGTCGAACGTATTTAGAAATTCAAGCTGATTAGAGCTCAGAAGCTGATTAGCTAGACACAAATCCAGAAGTTCGTTGAAAATAATCCTTTCGAGGAGTTTTGATGGGGACGGTGTTTTTGTGCACGTCCTGATATTTAATAACATCGAATCGAGTCTTGTGTTTAGATAAGCCAGACCTCGCACGAGACGACGCTCTCCGCCTGCCCTACGCAGTGAATGCAGAATCGACTATGAGGAGGAGGAGGAGGAAATGCGCTTTATTTTGAAATCGTAAGTTCAAAATTTTCAGCAAAAAATTGGCTCCATTCACTGTGGGTAGTAAATAAGTTAAAAGATTATTCAACAGTCAAAGAAACGATTATTATGGGGATAGTTCAAGTCTGAGCTTCTGTATTTCTGTCTCTTCGCACGTAAGATAGCGCGCTAGGAATGGCAATACAGAGGCTCGATAAGCCGATGTGCGACAGGGTATAAGACGGAAGTTGCGGCGCATCGGGCGGGAAGACTTGGCAGCCATAAGATCGGAATGTAGGGGATGGGCAACGTCATCTAGAATTCGACCAGCAAATTGCTTGACCGCATTGAAGTGTCGTTGTAAGATTGTGTCAACTAAAAAAATATAAGAAACGCCAGCAGCAGAAGAGAGCATGCGGAGGATTCGTTTCAAAATTAAAAGATCCTTTTTTAACAAAGCAGGAAAAACGACAGGAGAACAGTATAGGATAAGAGGAAGAATGCAGGCATCAATGAATCGCCAGACTAAGGGTTGAGGTGTGTAGTAGGAACGCAAACGACGAATGTAGTAAAGGAGTTTACGAACTTTAATAAATCGGGACTCAATATGGAGGGAAAAAGAAAGATTTGAGGACAAAGTAACGCCGAGATACCTGAAAGAAGATACCTCATTAGGAAGAATGTCAGAGGAATCAGGGTTAGGAGAGGGCCGCAGTCGAAAAATACACTTAACGGATTTTTGGTTGTTAATTAGGAGACCATTTGCCTCCGACCACGCTAGGACATGGTTTAGGCCATCCTTTAGAGACCGGAGGTGTGTCTGACTTTTGAGAGGGTGTCCAACAACCACATCGTCAGCATACTTGACCAGAAGACAGTCATTAGGGGACCTGAGATCATCAGTGTGGAGGGAGAAAAGGTGAGGGGATAGAATGGAACCTTGAAGAACATCGCAGTCATTGGCAAGGGTCGAAGATTTCCGCTTGCCAGATTGGACAAATTGGGTGCGGAAGGTAAAATAATCGCTCAGCCAAGAGACGACCCAGCCTGGAGAGCCACATGCGGAGGTTTTGGAAAGGAGAAGAGGACGCGGGACGGTATTGAAGGAGGAGGAGTAATCAAGAAAAGCGCACGCATACTCGCGGCAACCCTTGTCTAATGCTTTTAGAGCAGAGTGGACCACAAGAGCGACAGCATCTAAAGTACTCCGTTTAGCTTTGTATGCAAATTGTAAGGGGTCGGAAAAACTGGAAGAAAAAGGCTTTATGATATCTAGGGCAACTCTTTCAGCAAGCTTTAGTATTGCAGAGGCGCAGGCAATTGGGTGAAAAGATTTAGGACCAAAGTTAGCAGGCTTTTTAGGGATGGGAGTGATTCTCACTGTACGCCAGGCGTCGGGAATCTTGGACTCCATGAAAGACATATTGATTAGGTGCGTTAAAATAGGGGCTATCTGAGAACTGCAAGATTTAAGAAGAAAAGGCGAGACACCATCCGATCCGGCAGCTGTTGATCCACGGACCTTTTTAAGGTGTTTCTCTACTGTTGCCAAAGACACGGGTTGGAATGTACTCGGTGATAGGGGAATGTCTTCTAAGGGAAGATGGGAGTCATTGTGACTAAATATAAAATTTTTATTTAGGAAGTCTAAATCTGCATCCACATGCACCAGCGTGTTGCGATGACCAGTGAGACGCTTAAGATTTTTCCAAATCTCAGCTGAGGAAGGGGGGAAAGGGGGGGAGTAAGAAGAGGAAAAGAGTTGGCTGACAAACAGGCTATTTAGCCTGTCAATCTCTGTTTTTATTAAGACGGTAACGTCCTTAAGGTTATCACGTAAGCCTAGCTTGTGTGTGAAATAGTTTATAATGAGGGAAGCTCACGCAGCACTTAGCGCGCTCCCCTCCTTCACATACACCCCCTTCTCCGACGGCAAGACAATGCCAAGACGATAAGAAGAAGAAGATGATGATGATGATGATGATGATGATGATGATGGTGGTGGTGGTGGTGGTGGTGGTGGTGGTGGTGATGATGATGATGATGATGAGGCGGAGGAGGGGGAGGAGGAGGATGATGATGATGATGATGATGATGATGATGATGATGATGATGATGATGATGATGATGATGATGATGATGATGATGATGATGATGATGATGATGATGATGATGATGATGATGATGATGATGATGATGATGATGATGATGATGATGATGATGATGATGCGACTGCTGGAACAAGAGCTTTATTCGCCTGACTCTTCGGATTCTCACCTGAACCCATCATCAGATAGAGTGGTAGAAACGGATGATTTGCGCACAGGAAGTTGTGGTATTTATAGGATGAGACCAAAAGACCCGCTGTCAAGGCAAGAAACATCTGGAGTCGTTTATCGGATCTGGTGCAGTTGTGGGTAAAGCAAGTACGTCGGAGAAACTGGAAGTCTGCTCTGCACGCGAACTGCCGAACACGCGGCAACGGTGCGGTGAAAAGACGCCAACTCTCAGGTCGCGGCTCATTCGACGAGACCCGGCCACACATTCGAGTGCGATGAGGCCGACATTCGCGCGAGAGGGGGTAATCGCGTGAGCCGCTAGTTGCTTGAGTCATGGTTCACGAAACCCTAGTCGATCAACAAGTGCAGCGACATCCCCACTCCATATTCCGTGCTGAGGCATAGGCTGGCCAAATTAATCGACCACTCGGAGAGCGCGCAAGCCGGTGCGCCAGATGGCCGAGCAACCATCACACCAGCATCCGACACGAGTGGTGAGATTTCAGCAATAAACCATTTGCATGCCGGCCATCAAGCAAGTAGCGTACAAGCGGGGAACAATTCTTGATAAAGGGAGGGGCGCGGTTAATTGCCATAGGTATGCGGTAGCATGGCGACTGCGTTCTATAAATACTGCAACTTCCCGTGCGCGAATCACCCGTTGCCGTCACTGTCTCTGATAATGGGTTCAGGTGAGGATTCGAAACGTCCGACGAATAAAGTCCTTGTTCAAACGATCGCTTCTTCTTCTTATCAACTATTTCCTTGAACTCGCATCTTCGCTTGTATCGGCAATTTGAAGACGGCGGGTGATGGGTTTGCGTGCAGTGGCTGCCAAGGTTAGACTACCCAATCTACCCGCGACACACGCACGCTCCTGTTCCACTGGGTGTACCGGCCTCCTGTAAGTGCTGCCCGGGTCTCGCACCGGCAAAGGTTTCACAACGGCTGCATTAAGTTGCTGCAGTCTGTTTCTTAATCCTGAGGAGGACCTTATTATCGCCCCCGTTGACAGCCGTCCAAACTGCAACTCCTAACACGTCGATATGACTTCGAACGCATCCAATCTATCCCAGTGAGGAATCCCTGGGGGTGCCATTAAGTGCGATAGGTGCTGCTGGGAATACGCGGACGCCACCGATGTTCCTCTCAGCGTTCGGTGTAAAACTAACCTAACTAACCCTAACATAATGAAGGGCTTGGACGCCGACATATTACTGAACTCCTCACTATAATAAATCAGGTGAACTTAGCTCTGTCTCGATTCACTAAGAGTCATGACTTTAAAGGCTCCCAAGTGACGGGCCAACACACGGTCCTTCTCAGGGTTGAGAGTCAGGCCGCAACGGCCCCTTCTCAATGCAACCTCCACGGCACTCTCAACCACATGGGATCCAGATCGCCAAAACACAATGGTCTGACAAATCTGGAGTGGAAACCAGATCGTGTGGGGCACGCGTAGACGGGCTGGTTAACTCTCTCTCTCAACCACTCAGCAGAAACCAGTCGTGCTGACATTGTCCCGCCATCGAAGCGATGAAGGAGAAAATGCAGAGGGCGCGGTGCAAGTCGCAGATCTTGTGTGTCGTCCGTAGCGCATACGGTGGACCTCGTCCTTTGCGGCGGTTTTTGAGTCTTTTTTCTTGTGGCCCACCTGGCCTTCTGAGCATCTATTTAACAGTCACCCAAACTGGTGTGCAACCACCCTAGGCTGATAATACTGACACCTGGTGGAGACATGAAGTCCGTGACCTATCTGATGAAAGGTCGCGAGCTGTGAACGTAGATCGCTGATTTTCTTGAACTAAAAATCACAATTTCCATTCCCAAAATGGCCTCCTTTGATATTTTTCTTTATAATATAAAGGTTTCTTTGTAACGCAACGCGTGCAAATAAGAGGTTTTAATAGGGGATACTTATTAGAATAGGAAATTACGTGGATATCCGGAGACGTCAAAATTTGCCTAATTTTGGTCCCTTTCTCCTCAGTAAAAATGAACTAACGTGACTTCTTCTTTATAAAAGGGCTTTTTGGGATTCCAATCAATTTTAAAAACAAACATAACCACACCAAATATATGCCGTCCCTTCAACTCAAACACCGGTTTCGACAATTCATGAGTTAGGTCTGGAAAAAAAGGTATGTTCTCTTTCGTGTCCCCCCCCGTCCCCCGACAGCGCCTGCCACCAAGGGCATAGCTCATCGCTTTCGGTATGCCAGGACATGGCATTTGCGTTTGTTGACACGTCCGTGACTTGGCTGCCGTGTGGACTCTTTTTTAATGATTCAGCATAGACCTGGGAAGGTCTCATCTCTCCCTTGGAAGGGTACTGCGGAAAGACCAAGTGCCAAATGACAGACATACGTCTGACTTCGTTTTGACTGTTCTAACCTCCTGATCTACCATGGGTCGTCTGCGCGAGGCCATTTATCGATAACCTCTCATCTCGTGGCTCAGGTGGCTGCAGCGTTGGCCAGATTAGAGCCTTCCCCTTGCCGTTGTGGGCAAAAATACCACGGAGACGCCGAGTTTTTTACTGTTAGATCAGTATGAATTAATAAAAATCTGTCACAACATCTATGAATAACTTGGGGCTGGTAGTCATCTGGTGGATTCTAGGTGAATTACTTAGGAAATCCTGTTTGGACAGTCAGATTACTCTATCAGATTTGGTGGATACCAGGCGTTGCAGTAGGCTAGTCGGACAGCATGCCCCAAAGGTGATTAGACCCACGTCTTCCGGTGGGGTCTCGTAACTCAGGTGGCTTGGGGATTGGCCGTAGTCAAGCCCTCCCCATGCTATCAAGGGTTCGAATCCCACTGAGGCGCTGAGTTTTTTATAGTTAGGTCAACATAAAAGTCGGCTGAGGTGCTGGAGGATAAATGATCATAGGTATCATAGGTTCCATCTGTGGAATGAAACAGGTGTCGCCGAAATATTGGCAAAATTCTTATAAAAACGGCATAGATACCCCAAGAAGACAGCAAAAGTGTAACGGGACGTGCCTTGGAGAGCGCAGAAAGAAAGAGACAGAGACAGAGAATTATCCAATGTTTTTAAGATATCTTTTTTTAGCAAAAACATACCCTTCACTTTATAGCCCGAAAAAGCAAACTAAGCTTTCTTGCCTGTTAAACTCGAAAAATTTCATTATAAAAAACGCGCGAATTGCCGAAGTCGAAGGTTTAATCAGTTAGTACGAGTAAACAATGAAGTCAGTTCGTGCTATGGAAGGAAATGCGCAAGCCTCCTGTATAAAAATAAAGAGTACCCATATAAAGGGTGATAAAGATTTAGGTTAAAAATCTCGACTTACATAAACGCTAGGACCAGATGCAACAGCGTATGTTTTCATACAGACCTGCGCTGGGGCAACAAGAGCAATCCAGTGCTGAAATCTGGGTCATGGGCACAGCTGTCGTTTCAAGAACACCAGCATTTGGCCTGGTAAGCCACCAATTCGATGTTCATGCCTAAGGCCAGCAAGTCAGCAAGAGCGTATAACAGGGTTCATGACAGGGAGGATGCTGTTCTGCTTTCGTCGTGCTACACTAACACACATTCTGCTGGACTTGGCAGGTTGCCAGCTGTCCGAATGAGCCGAGACCAGAGAAACAGTAGTCAGGCTGCAATGGTTTCTCCTCAGCGTGACCTTGGTGGCATTCTTGCTGATGCGAGTTCCAAGCTGCCTTCTCACAATCCCGGCACGTGTTATACAGATCAGGTTGCGTATGGCACGTGTAGACGGATAGTTTAGCTTCTCCAGCCACAGCATTCTCGTCTGTCTGTGATCGTCTTGACTTTGCCACGTCCTCGGAGCATAGTTAGCGTGGGAGGAGAGAGTGAGATTGGCGCTGTGAAAGTCTGCTTAGTCATAAACCGGTCCACCCTTTGCCATACTCGTGTGTGTCACGGTCTCTGGTCGCCCGTCGACCCGTGAGGACTTCTCTCACCAAATGAGGAAGTGGAAAGTTGCATTAAAATTTAATATTTGCACAGAACTCCATCTGCGAGAAGACGGCCCCGATTAGGGCTATACACTGTAGCTAGATGTAATGTGTTGGTTAAGAATACACCTTTTACTTCTTAACTGAAAACTCAGCGCCATAGGCTAGGCGAGCATCCTAAACTGTTATCTCTCTCAGCCTCTCTTTTATAGGCTCCGGGTCACAGTTCCATACTGATGTTTAAGGTCATTAGACTTGAAGACACAGCTTGTAAAATTGTTTATCAAACTAACATTGTGGACAGGCAAATAAGCCTATGTGACGGCCTGTAAGAACCCCACATTGGGCGTCAGGGCGAAACGGGATGAACACGTCCCGTAACCTGCTTGGTGGATGCCCATCCGTCATAGTTAACGTCCCCAATCACACTTGAAAGGACGACAGGTCTAGAGCTCAATGTTTAGGAAGTACATAGTGCCTACTAAATTATTATATTTGTAAGACAGTCGCAGCTGAATGCTCTATTGCTCTCCCCGCAGCTCGAGTGCAGGTGCACAGGCAAATGACCCGGTAAAAAACGGCTGCTTAAATAGTTTGAATTTTTATTGTTATATTTTTATTTTATATTCATTTATATTATGGAAAAATGCACAGAAATCATCTTTCCCTTAACTTGATTGGTAGAAAATAAAGTTTTAATCGAACTTTGTACACAAGGAATTTGTGTCTTTGAGTTTAAAAAGGTTTGTAGTGGTGAAGTCTTTAAAATCGCCAAACGTCTAATCAGATATGTTCGCATCTGTTCGTTCATTAATTATGCTTTTGAAGTAGACAATTTGGTCGACATCCATTGCAACATTTCTGGAACCCTAGTCGACTTCATAATAACAGAAAAGTATCTGATCTTATTTTAACGGAAATCATCTAGAATTTAGTTTGGAAACCCAAAATTTAAAGTTAGCTGTGGGGCGGGATCACAATATTGCGGGAATTACGAAAGCTTTTAAAACTGAGTGATGCTTCTTTTAAGT